TTACTCTGAAAATATAAAGCAAGGAAAGTCAAATCATCTATCTCTCCCTTAAAAACGACATCCTGTCTGACTGCACTATGTCACTTTACCAATGCCAATTATTTAAGCTATTCAGATCCTAATCTATGTGTTATTTTCAGATAACTACAGTTTAAAAAATTAACGTTCACTCCCACATTTACCTACTTAGATGAGTTTCAGAATTTTAGTAAAATATGTTTATTGCTTAACTTTTAACAGGAAACAAAAGGAGTGTTACAGTGTTAGTCATCAGAAACTGTCACTCAGGGTACGCACAAAAAAGTAAAATCCACTTGACATTCCAGAATGAAAAACAATAAAGGTGCAACATTATTCAAAATAAATGTGAGTTCTTGGACTCTATAATGATAACAAAATCAGGAGTCACAGTAATGTTTACTCGTATTTCAATAATCTCTTAGCATTGGCCGAATTTCCCAGGTCCTAGACAACTGACTCAGGTATGTTGAAACTTACAGGCATTTGACACATAATCTTGAGGCTAAAGAGTTGTTGTTTAATCTTCCTCTAAGTGTAAAAGACCATTCAGAAGCTCTGAAGTCTAGTTGTAACATTTTTAACAAAGTATCATTCTGTTTACCAAACCCTCTTAAAACGAAATCCTGAAAGAAAAACACTGTCTTCCGCTGTTCCTACCAAGTACATTTTTTATACTTATTCTAACGTGAATTTGTGCACTGAAAAACATACGTTCACATTTTACTGCAAGTAAAGCATTTTTCTATATGTTGCAAAATAGAACCCAGGACCTCCAAGGCATTGTGTTAAACTTCTGTGCCTCATTGACATCCTTGCTTCCCATCTATTTACCTCCCAGAAATAATAGCTCATTTTAACCACAGCAATGCTTCATCTGACCAGGCCTCAATGAATTTACCAACCACATTAACTCAGGAAATGGTAGAAACTCATAAATCCCCTGTGAATAGAGTTGAGTAGCTCTCACAATCCTAGGCCTGGGGGGAAAAATGTACTAGTTTAGCTAGGTTGGCCATAAAATTGTAAACTGACTGGCAGTCACAACTAAATCAAGACATATTCTCAATTATCTTTCCTTTCAAATGCCAGGTTATTAAAATGCTCCTCTCTCCCCCTCTCCTCCTGCCTGCCTACTTGGATTACCTGAGCAGCACAGAGCTTCAGCAACTAAAGAAACTTTTCCTTTTCCCTTTTTGCCATAGTGTGATTTCTCTTTGCTTAGCAGCCTTCATGCAGTGGTGCCCTTATGCAGACTAGAATACTGCTTTCTAACTGTTCTCTAAATTACATCCTAAAATAAAGTACATGCTTATTGTGCAAAAGCACCATGCATTATCTGTCCTCTAGCTATAGGCCTCTATCATTTCTGGCTTAGCTAAGAAAAAAAAAATCCTTTTAACTTACTATCAAAGATCATTCAAATCACACCCAATAGATCCAAATTAAGAATGAATACATTCAGAATGTCTGCCTACTGTCAGTACCAGTTTTTGTTATGATGGCTGTCAAGTTTAAAAATGTGACAATGAGAATATATTTTCCGAATAAGTTATTCCTCTGAGTAAATCCTTTAGAAATCCAGCCATTGCTATGGGCAATATAGGTTCCAAAGGATGAACGCTCTTCACACTTGAAAGGGTTAAGTGCCTGCATGGCCAAAGGCACCAGACTGCAAAAGAAATGTTGCTTTAGTAAGCTCTGAAAGGTTTCTAACAAGTACCAAATACTTGTTGATCTGCTCACAATAAACACCAGCAGGATTGTCAGGCTCCTTTCACTGTATGGGGAGACGCATTTACATACTGCACCTAGGAAGAACAGCTTGTTGGTCTCCTTTATAAAAGTTGAGTAGCTAGAAGCCTCCTTCAGTGTCTCCCATCCAAATGACTGAAAGAAGATGCAATTGAAATAGTGGAGTCTTTCGTCTAGCTTGGGCAGCATAAATGCTGTGCATAAAACATTTGGAGTAGTTCAGGCACAAGACAAACCCACCTGAATGGACGAGGAACACTGTCTGTTGCCATGGCAGCCTGATCTAATTACATGAGTGATCAGGGCTGGAGTAAGTGCACTGAAAACCTACACCACTGACAGCCAGCCAGGAGGTTCAAGGGAGCCCTTCAACCTCTGCTTTATGTAGAAGATGGCATTCAAGTCCATTTATTTGCAGAGCTGCTAAAATATTGACTGATGCATGCACAGCGAGAGGGCAATCAGAGGAGATTAAGTGCCACAGCATTAGCCGTTATGGTGCAATCCCTTTCCAAGAGTTCCTGTGCAGGATTTTCTCTTCTCTCTGGTGGTTTCCTCAGGCATAAGCTTCATTCCAAAAAAAAAAAAAAAGCCTAAGTATCAAACTACCTTTACCCACCAAATAAACCGAAGGGTGGGCTTAACGGGGGCTTCTAGGAACTGCAGCCTCCTAAAAAACCCAAACGGAAATGTCTTAGCTAACACTGTTGAAAAAGTAGCTATGCCTAAAAATAACCACCAAGTAACTACCCACTGCTGTGTGCAATATATAACGACAATGTTTAAATATTAAAAACAGCCTGCATTATAAAACGCAAATGTCATTGAGATGTGCACTACTAGATTGCCAAAGGAGAACTTATTTGCATACACACATTCCTGTGCATGCACGAATGTGCAGGCAGAAAGCCACTGTAAGGCACCAGTTTTTATTCTGTGGGTGTAATAGGGTCTTCTAATTTTGCTAATTGTATCCTGTGGATCTCACAGGGAAGCTCAGAATCTCTTCGGGGACAGAACCAGTTTGGAGGAGTCCCTACTGCACAGCATACGGTAAACAAAATAAAAATAGCTTGCCTTTCTTGTTAGCCACATCGCGCATTATATAACCAGCTTCTTCCGACTGGCTTTTTTTTTTTTTTTGCCCTTACTACTCTTCAGCAATTTCCCAATCTTCTCAAGTATTTACATTACCTTTTTATCTGTAGGATAATACCAAGAAAGCAAAACAAAACAGACCAGCCACCGGCTCGAACCGAACCCCTGCCGTCCTTAGAAACTGATCTTTTTGTTTTGTTTTGTTTTCTGGCAGAGTCTGGATCACCACCCTACTTCCACCCCCCGCTAAGGTTCTTGCTCAATCTCCCTAGAAAACCTGAATTGTTTCACCGCTTCCAGTCAGCCCCCTACGTGGTTTGAAATAAAATGAAAGCACAGCCTCGGAGTTCAAGAAGGCAGCCTGAAGGCGGGGGGCTGAGAAGGGGTCGGGCGATGCAGAGTCAGCCAAGTGGCCGAGGAGGGGCCCCCTCCGCATCACGACAGCCCTCGCCCCCCGCCCGGCGCGCACGCACACACACATATACACATTCACACTCACTCACACACTCACTCACACGCCGCGCTCCGACACCGCCTCACCTCTCGCTCCGCCCGTCCGGCCCCCTTCCCTGCCCCCTGCGGGACCGGCCTGAGCGCAGCGCTGGAACCACGTAGGAGGCGGCGGCGGCGGCGGCCCCGGCCCCGGGAGTGGCAGAGTCTTCGGCCCGGCCCAGAGTGAACGAGCAGCGGGGCTCCAGGGCGCATCCCAATCCCCGCAGCGCCTCCTCCTCCTCCTCCGCCGCCGCCTCCTCCTCCTTCCCCTCCTCCTGGCTTCATTCACCCTCCCAGCAGCCGCGCAGCCGTTCACTCCCGGCTCCGGGCAGCGCCTGCCGCGGCTCCTCGGTTCCTGCCGCGGGCGCTGGCAGGGGCGCCGGCCCGGACTGGGGCGCTCGCGGGCTCGCGGCTCCGGGCGGCGGCGGCCGCTGCACAGGATCAGGAAGCGGCCGCACCAACAGGGCGGCGGTGGCGGCGGCAGCCAGGGCCGCCACCGCCACTCCAGCCGCGCTCCAGGCACCCGCACACCCGCTACCCCCGCGGGGTCCCCGAGGCCACCCCTCCGCGCCCCCCGCCTGGCACCCGGCCGAGCGCAAAGTCCCGGCCCCTTGGCTGGAGCAGTCCCTTCCCAGCCCACAGCCGTACAGCCGGCGAGGCCGGCCACGGAGGGAAGACCCTCGCCCAGGGGCGCCGAGGCCGGGCGTCCACCCGCGGGGAAGTGCAGCCCTCCCCGAGACCCCCCCTCTCTCACCGCCCTCTCCGGAGAGGAGGAATGGGAAGAGGGCGGCCGGGAAAGGGACCAGCCCCCCACCCCGGCCGCCGCCGCCTCCCCCTGCGCCACCCGGAGGGAGGAGGACATGGCTCTCGGCACTCGCGACCGGACCAGCAGTCTCCAGAGCGGGGCGCCGCCGCCGCTCTCCCTGCCCGCGCCCCCCGCCCGGGCGCGCCCCCTAGCCCGGCGGGCGCCCACCCGGCCCCTGACAGCCCCCCCGAACGGCCGCCCCTGCGCCCAGAGTGGGGGTGTCGGCCTGGGAGCCTGGAACCGGGGACGGTTGTATGTACACACACACGCACGCACACACACACACAACACGACGCGTCGATTCCCTTCGCTCCTCTTCCAGCTGTTTTCCGTGCAGCCGATTGGGGTTTTAGGGTTTGTTTGCTGGTTGTTGCTTTTGCCCCTCTCGGGAGATAGGGAGAGGAGGGATTTTAATCTAAATAAGGGGAGAAGGGGATGGGGGAGGGGGGAAAAGAATCAGAGGAGGAAAAAAAATAGCCACTTACTGTAAAGTGTAAATGGATCTGGGGTTGCGTGGGGAAGGGGGGCAGAGGGAGAGAAACAATGTCTGGCGGCTGCTCTTGCTCTGGCTGCTGCTCCCCGGGGCTTGTTTTGGATCCCCCTGCAGTGAAACAGGTCCTGTACGGCTCCGCCACTGTAGTAGAAATGATGTCTGCGGTATACTCTGCTCTCTCCTCCTCCTCCTCCTCCTCCTCCTCCTCCTCCCCCTCCTCCCGCTTCCCTCCCCTCCCTCCTCCCTCCGCCCTCCCTCCCTCGCGCTCTCTCGCGCTCGCTCGCTCGCTCGCTCGCTCCAGTATGTAAATGTGTAATAGAAGCCAAATATGGAGCAGTTGGCTGCCGCCGCCGCAGCTCAAGGATCCGACTTCATGGGGGTGGGGGGCACCCTCTGGCGGGCGGCCCGGCGAGCAGCACCGAGCCCTGAGCGCACCGCGCGGCGGCTGGCCCGCGCCCTTAACCCTTCGCGGCGCGCGGCCCGGGGAGGCGGGCACCTTTCCCCAAGAGTGGCTCGGGACGGGCCGTGGGGGAGGGGAGGAGCGGGGTGGAGGGCAAGGTTCCTTCCAGGTTTGGGAAGGGGGCGGGGAGCTGCGCGATGAGGTAATTGGAGCGGTGACCGGTCGGTCCTCGAGCGCCTCCCTGGGTCCCTGCACCTAGTTGGAGGGGACCGAGCGACCGCGGGGCGCTGCTCAGGCAACCTGGGGGACTCCCCCAAGGGGTGTCAGGCTTCAGCTGGCAGCCAATGAAACACCCCAGGGGGGAGGGGAGGTCGGCGGGTTCTAATCCCAACGTGCCCTGGGTCCCCGGCGCCCCGAGCCGCGTCTAAAAGGGCTCCCTCCGATCATCAGCTGCACGTTATTTAACCCGCAAACCGGCGTCGCTGCGGCGTTCGGGAACCCAGGCCCGGGGGCCTCGGGGATTGCCTCTGCGTGCAACTCCGCAAAGTTTCCCGGGCCCCCCGACTGCACAGGCGCCCTCACCTTCGCTGCCTGAGAACGCCCGGCCGTGCCCTCGCTCTCTCCGCAGGTCCGGAAATCGGCTTCGATCTGGAGCTACTTACTCCGCTCTAGCCTGGAAAGGAGACCCGCGCACTCCTCTCGCAGCTAATTTGGGATCATTAATTTAATCGGAAATGAGGTAACCAGTGTAAGAGACAGAGAAAGCCACCGGAGCATCAAATGGCAGCTCTCGGGAATCGATGAAGAACTTGAGTCTGGACTCTGTGTTTTAGTGCGGTCCGCGACTCCCACCACCCCGCCCGCCCCTCCGCCTGTCCCGCCGCCAGGTGTGACCTCCACGCGAAGGAATCTTCGTCGGCTGGGCTAACATTGCCAACAGGTGTGGCACCTGGAGGACTGGGAGGTGCCTCCAGACTACGGGCGCTCAGCGTGGCGTTTTTGCTGCAGATGATTCTGGAAGGCCAGTAGGTGTCGGGCAACATTTGACCTCCTTCAGGTGCTTAGAACTAGGTGTCTGGAAACATGACCCCTTCGCGTAAGTTTCTTTCTGAAAGCCACCGCTCTTGACTGTAAGCTGTATTTGAGAGACCTTTTGGCTGAGTTTACTTATGACCTAACGGTTAGTCACCCACTGAGGCAGGGCAGAGAATGATCAAAACATGTGTCAGGTTTTACACAACTCTGGCCTGCAAGAGCCTACGTGCTCCTGAAATAATAAACGTACGAGCGAGGAAAGTGCAGAGCCCCGGAAATATTTTTTCTCACATTTTTGATATGCCGTGCACATGTAAGTGGCTATTTAAATGTAACTACTACTGTTCACTCTTACTCATTTCTACAACTCCCCCCCCCCATTTAAAAATCGATGATTGTTACAGTTTGAAACCTCGGGTTAGTCTAAAGTGACATTGTTGGTCTCCTTACAGCCTCTAGTGGACAGTTAACATCAGTTTCCTGAAAAGGCTCTGATAGGTTTTGTTTTGTCAAGGTGAAGGTTAGCGCGTCAGAGCATAACTGGGTAAAATATCCCACACCCCTATCCTCACCCCCGCCCCCAACCCCCTACTTGACAAAGTCGACTTCAGAAAGAAGCAGAAGCTTGTTGGCTTTGTATAGGAGATGCTGCCGGTATTATTACTGGACTTTTCATGTCAGTTTCAGACAGCTTCCATAAAAACTAAACTCATCTCAAATATTTTTATAACAGAAAATATTGGTTGCCATGTTTTTGGCTTAACTGCGATGTTTTTATTCCAACTCATAATCTGCAAACTGTCCAATCCACCTCCACTCTATTTTTAGACATCTTACATTTAGATAATTTTCCGTTAAAAAAGCTAATATTGTAATTATTATGTTGGCACAACCAGTTAATTTACATGATTTTAGCAACCTTAAAACACATAATTCAGATTAGAGTTAGCCAATTAATTTAAATGTTCTCTCAAGGAAGCTAAATATGTATATTACCCAAATGGTAAAAACAATTAATAAGAAATGTGTCATTTACTTTCTTAGCCATTGAGATTAAAGCCATAAACTGCCACCAAAGCTGTAACTATTTCTTCCTGCAAGATCCAGCATAAACACCATACTCGTGAAACAGTCTCATTACCTTTAGTACTGAAATATTTTGTTTTCAGATGGCAAAATATTAAATGTACAGTCACAAATAACAGACACTGATTCTTTAGAAACAAGACTTTCTCATGCAAATAAAAACTCAATGAGAAAGGGCAGAGCTTTCAGAAGCTAGTAGGCAAATATATAGTACTATAGTCCTAGTCGTCAGGCTGACGTTATATTTGTGCAAGCATAAGTCAACCTTTGAAATTACAGGAAATAGATAAATAAGGCCCGATGAGCTTGACTCATAACCTGTGTTGTAGATTGCTTAAATACCATGGAAAACAATTGTAATTACAGACCTGTTTTACTGTTTTGGTGCTACTCTTGAAGACTTTAAATGGCCCAGCAAATATATCATACATTACATACATTACACCCTTACTTCTTAAAGTGTAGTCTTTAAAGTAGCCGCAGCAGCACTAAGGAGCTTTTTAGACATTCAGAGTCAAGGGTTCTACCCCAGACACAGCAAATCAGAATCTTTCTTGAACCAGGCCCGTGGCTGATTCCTAAAGGCATTATCATGTGAAGAACAGTGGTCTGTACCACAGGGATCAAGCTAAATAAATTGGGGCACAGGTGCAGAAGTTAATTCCTCTTATTTCTTTCTTGCTTGTTCCTTTTTTATTAAGTACAGCCTTTTATTAATTTGTGCATTGCCATGAAGAATTCTCACATTATATGCTTTGGGTAAATACTGCTGCATTTTAAGAGCAGACATCTGCATCATTATTGCCGAAAGAGAATGCTCTGCTGGGGAATGAACTGGGGTCTGGAACATGAACATTTTCTTCATGGCAGCAGAGGGAGCACAAGAGTACTTAATAAAACCAGCGCACAGGTTTCTCCACAACACGACAGATTTTAAATTGTAGTATATGTTTTCCTTGGAAGTAGCCTGTTACGTAGTTCAAAATGAAGCAAAACAACCAAACAAACACAAACAGCTTACCAGGTCTCAACAACTGTGTAACTGAACAGGCTGGAAGTTGAAGAAAACAAAGATAAACTTCTTCAGTTTTAGGCTTGAATTGTTAAAAGACGTTGAACATCCAAAGTGAAAAAGATGTCTCGCCTTTGCTCTACTCAAAAACAAAGATAACACAATACAGAATCAGGCAACCCTAACAGTCAGTTCCCGGGACCCTACATCAGGTAAGTTCATTTCATTTGGTGCCATACGTGTTGGTTAAGGTCCATGGGCCTTTCCCTGTGTTTACATTCACAATAATTTTAGGGGTTTGTCCTTAATGCTTGCAGTGGTGAAGTTTCAGGTTTCAGTTATACTTTTCACTACTCTTTTATATTGCATCCTCAAAAACTCCCTTGAAGCAGGTAAGATACGTGATAAAACCCATGTATGAAAAAAATTAGGAACCAGGTCATGCTTTCATAATATTGAGTCATTTAATTGTTTCAATAATGCCTCGAGGTGTTGGTAAACGAGGGAAATTATACAGACTAAAGATACAGAATATTTTTATAGTTTTACAGGATTTTCAAAGTTATTCTTAGTTAATATGTTTATGAATTATTTACAAGCAGTTATTTATTCTGCATCTACAATAACTGGATCTGGGAATATAAAGTGGAGTAAGACATCTTAGTGTGCTAGGAGTTCAGAGCAGAACAAACTTTACCTTTGGAAAATTGTTAATTTTTACCACGATGAAATGCAAAGATTCATAGTTGATCGATCGATCCAGCACCTGCCAGAATCAGACTTCCAAATATGAGAATCAAACAGTAAAATCATTAAAATTTGGGAGGTCAGGGGGAACAATTGTATAACTCTTGAGCAAAAGTTGACTTAGAAACTAATATTAATATTTCAGATTTCTACGACAAACAAATGTGAAGATATAATGTGTATTTTATTTGACTGTCTTCCCTATCACAAAATCACATGAGTAAGTTGAGTTAGTAAACATTTATTTATTTTTATCTTTTTAAAAATGCTAAAAAGAACTTCTCTCCCACACTAAAGAGGGTTTGCCAAGTTTCTGCCTGGAGCAATTTGTTATGGCTGTGTAATAAATTCCAGAAAGTTTGAATTTTTAATGGAAACCCTGACAGAATAAAGAGGGTGTAATCCTACATATGTCATTTAAAAATCTGAGCAAATCGTAGTGTGCTTGCAAAACAAATATACTTTCCTTAGATTGCACTCACAAATAAGGCTGGGGACACGACAAAAGTAAAACAAAACTCAAAAGTGAAAAACACTCACACAATAGACTCTGAAGTCGTCAGCTCACCACACCCAGACTAAAGTCACTGGGCTCTGTGCGTGGCACCGAGACTCTTAAAGGACATGCTTCCGAATCGTCTTTCTTGACCCTCTACCAAACTGTGGCCAGACAGGCTTCCTGGTAATGAAAATAGAATTACCATTAGTCAAGAGTGAAATTAAAGTCATTGTACTCAACCATTTGCCAACAGTCTGTGACTTCACAGTACCCATCTTTGAAATAAGACTCTATAATTAAAAAAAGGTACCTTAAGTCTGCACTATCCGTTATGTTTATGAGCACTTGAAATATGTGATTAGTCCAAATTAAGATGTGCTGTAAGTGTGAAATATTCCTCAGATTTTAGAAATTTGGTTTAAAAATATATATTTTATACATAATATATATTATATATCATTCATTATATTAATTATATATACATGCAATATCTATCTCAATTTTTATATTGATTAAATGTTGAAATGAAAATATTGGGTTATTTTTTAATAGCATATATTGGGTTAAACAAAATATTAAACTTTGTTTTACCTGTTTCTTTTTTTACTTTTTTTTTTTTTTTTTGAGACAGGGTCTAAGTCTGTCACCCAGGCTGGAGTGCAGTGCAGCAGTGAAGTCTCTGCTCCCTGCAACCTCTGCCTCCTGGGCTTGTGATCCTTCCACCTCAGCCTCCTGAGTAGCTGGGACTACAGGCATGCCACTATGCCCAGCTAATTTTTGTGTCTTTTGCAGAGATGGAGTTTCGCCATGTTGCCCAGGCTGCTATTGAACTTCTGGGCCTTGGCCTCCCAAAATGCTGAGATTACACCACACCCAGCCTCTTTTCACTTTTCTTAATGTGGCTACTATAAAGTTTAATATCACATGTGTGGAAAGGTTGTGTATTTCATTTCTAATGAACAACACTGGTACAGATATTGGGGCTGAGGAGGCACAGTAATTGGTTCTAAGTACCTGCAGTTTGAGACCTTAGAATCCACAGCAATGTCGTGAATAACTTATTTTTCTACCTTCCTCATGTTTCTCCCTTGCACTGTGTAACACAGACCTTATCGTGGTTTGTAATAATGATCACTGAGAGTAGACTGTCGGTGAATGCGTGATCTCACTGGTAGATCTGTTACAGGCCTGCAAAACAAAAATTTATTAGGCTTATCTGTGGCTCAGTCTTCTCAGGGGAGCTCTGGTACCTTGTCACCCTGGGAGGCTGATGGGAAACCTACGTTCTATTTTCAAAAGCACGAGCACAAGCATCCTAGAGTTACAGCTGGTTTTGCTGCTTGTGGCTAAATGGTTTGGGGCTGATACCTTCTAGTGACAGATGGCTCTGGACATTGATAATGAAAATTATATAATTTGTTGCTTAACTAAAAAAAAACACATCAAGGCCACCAAAAGGAAATGGTTTTTTTTTTTAAACTTCCCAATATATTTAGTACCATATGATCCTCTGAAAAGAAGTAAGATGATTTTTCACCATCATTATTTATTTTGCAAGCAAGACCTAAATAAGTTTTCATCAATGCAGCTCTGACCAAGATTGAATGTAAGACAAGGGCCTATTAAGTCTCATAATTGAAGGTCTTAGTCATTAAAAGAACATAGCTCTTCTTACATGGAAAAAAACCAGACAATATTTTAAGGCCTAGAATGAATGAGTTGAACTTTGTTTGGTATTGGCCAGGAGCATTTGGAAATCTATTAAAAGCCTTTCATTAACAACTTGGCATTTTGTTTCCTCAAAAGAAATACATTTTCCAAATTAAAATAAAAGCCAGAAGCCACCATTGTTTGAACTGAAGGTAGTGGCGGCTGATGGGTTTTACATGTTAAGCTGAGGGTGCCTTTGAAATAAGATCATGGGCAACAACAGGCTGCAGAAATAAACATCAAATTTTGATGGAAGGAGTGAGCAAAGTTCTTTGTTGTTCTAACTTCATGACATTAAAATATGTGGCTATAAGCTATCTTAGTTACTTTATTTTTCGTGAGTCTATATTGGCCAGGAGAAGCTGATCCGAATGAAGGTCAGAGTTTAAGAAAATTATTTTATGAGGAATTTGCCAAGTTTACCCCCAAAGAGGGAGAGTTGGAGAAAAATGCATTGGCAAACTTTGCTTTTTGACACAAATAACTAGAGTTCACCAAGGAAACGGCCTGTGTCAGGATTTCAGTGATGGTTGTCAGGCAGTTTGATATTTGCAGGACCGTCTCTGTCAGGCCTCTCCAAAGTTTAACTGCTGGGAGACCTGGGAAGCTCTCAAGACTGGTGACTGAAGATACTGATTTGCTTTGTGTCTGAGACACAGACATAAAACGATGGCTACTGCCACAGATGCTTTCTGGCAGAGCAGAATAATAGCACTCAGACCTAAACTGTGAATTACAAACAATCCCTTTTTAAGTACAAAATGAATGCACAGAATGGAAGACCCTGTCAGCTAGAATACGAGTAAATCAAGCAGTAGAAGACAGATTTTTCACTCATACCACTACAGCCAAATTTTTATTCTGCTAACTGCACTATCATGAGAGAACTTTTCTTCTTTGTCAGATATTAACAATTGTGCCTAGTGTTCCATTATCGGAACGCTAAGCATGTGGTTGTTATCTATATCCTACTGCTCAAGGTCATCGCCAAGGTCTGACTGCAAAAATTCAAAAAATTGCAACCTCAGGCATAAACGGGTTAAGAAAATTGATACATCATAATTATTACAATATATGAGGCACTGGATGCGTTTCCTCTGAAAGCCAATCAAATCACGGGATCTGCTTCCTAATTTCCCACACCTATTCCAGTTTAAAAGTTTAAAAGTTGTAGCTTCAATACCAGGAGTAAGAATAGGTGACCCCTTCACTCCTAGGGCTAGCTTTTCCGGCTGTCAATTTCATAATTATATTGCTCCGCCCCTTGGCTTAGCACTTCCTTTTCCCTCACTACCTTCTCTCCCCAACCCCCAGCAATGAATCATCATGACTTTAAAGAGACTTAGATGACCCAGTGTGAACTTTGCTGGCATCCTGTACAGTCTTATGCCAAAAAAGGGGAGTTGCTCTATGACAGAAACTAGCCAGACCCTGATGCAGATCTTGGAGGCAACAAGCTTGGGTGCTTATCTGGGAAGATCAGTGAGGAATGAATTTTCCTAGATCGCGATGGTGATTCAGAATTGCATATCTTAGTTCATGATCTGGTTTTTAAGAACCCAGTTCGACCCTTTGTGCAGAAAGGAATATATCAGAGTGAAACATGTTGGCAGATCTCCTTATGCAATCAGGGCAAAGGAATTTATACCAAATTCAGCCCTTTGATTTCTCCAGATCTGGCTGAGGGTGGGGTTTCCATATTTGTGCTTTGGCAAATGTGTCCAATAATTAACTCCTCCTGATATATGCCCCTAGTGTTCTTCCAGGTTATCATGTGCTTATTTGTGCATTTATTAAAGCCAGAAACATTTTTGCCCCTTCGTTTTTTAAATACTGTGTCTGAGTAATACAGGTTAAATAGACAAGAGCCTTGCCTTTAAAGACTGTACTCCCTACCTAAAGAGGTATGGGGGTATCATTAAATAACATTATGTGTGTGCGTATACTTTCTATATAGAAAGCCCTTTCTTCTCCTCCCTCCCTTTTTTTTTGCATGGAGATTTTATCTTCATGCTTTTGAGATCCGGCTCAAGCATCAACACTTCTGTGAAGTCTTTCTTGATTATCACAGGAGTCTGCGGCTCTGCCCAATGTGTGAGTCAGAGAAGTGCTATTTTCTTATTCTTTTTATTTATACAATATTTTTTTAAACCTCTAACCGAAAAAAACAGGGCCATAAGCACAGATGGAGAGAGTATCCAAAGTGGAAGCGTCTCTTATTTGAATACTTCCTGCTACTCCCAAACCCATTTGACCTCCCTCACAGTTTCAGCGAGGGACTGCGCTTCCTTTGTTTATTGCTCCAATTATGTGACTCCCCTCCACTGATCAGCTCTTCGTGCAGTTTTCCACTGCCCTCTGTTATGAGTTGAATTGTGGCCCCCAGAAGATATATTGAAGTCCTAACCCCAGTAACTATGAGTGTGGCCTTATTTGGGAGTAGGATTTTTGCAGATTTAATTAGTTAGGATGAGGTTTTACTGTTTTAGGGTGGACCCTAAATCCAATACAAGTGTTGTCCTCACAAGGAGAGAAGTCACAGAAACAGAAGAGATACAAGGTAGATGACCACGTGAAGACAAGGCAGAGATTGGAGATACGCTGCCACAAGCCAGGGAACACCAGGGATTGCCAGCAACCACCAGAAGGTAGAAGAGGCAAGGGAGGCTCCTCTCCTAGAGCCTTTAGAGAAAGGATGGCCCTGTCGACACCTTGATTTCAGACTTCTTACTGTTTTTTATTTTTATTTTTTTGAGACAGGGTTTCACTCTTGTTGCCCAGGCTGGAGTGCAATGATGCGGTCTTGGCTCACCACAGCCTCCGCCTTCCAGGTTCAAGCGATTCTCCCGCCTCAGCCTCCTGAGTAGGTGGGATTTCAGGTGCACACCACCATGCCTACCTAATTTTATATTTTTAATAGAGACGGGGGTTTCTCCATGTTGGTCAGGCTGGTCTCGAAATCCCGACCTCAGGTGATCTGCCCACCTTGGCCTCCCAAAATGCTGGAATTAACAGGCGTGAGTCACTGCGCCTGGCCGATTTCAGTCTTCTAATTTCCAGAACTGGGAGAGGATAGATACCTGCTGTTTTAAGCCACCCAGTTTGTGGTACTTGGTTACAGCAGCCCTAAGAGACTAATGCACCCTCCTGGTGATATCCATGATTCCAGGTCTGCTGCGTTCTCCTTTCTTCTCTTTATTTACATAGGTGGCCCTTTCTGCGTCATATACTCCTAGGTAATCTGTTCTGGATGTACTATTGGTCTTGCACCTGTGACAATCCCAGTAAACAAAAGAAAAGGTCTAATGGAATAGAAAAATTTATAGAGTTCTAGAACCACCTCCCCACCGGAAAAACATCTGGCTTCTGGCCCCAGGCCTCAGAGAGCACAAGTACATGACACTCCTGCACAGGTCCTCAGCTGGTGTCCACGTCCTCCTCCGCCCTCCTTAGCTCCCTCTGCTGGGAGCCCGATGCACCAGCAGCTTCCCTCTGCCGAATTGGTCTTCCAGCCTGTGGGGTTGGCGTGAAGAAGAAAAAACTAAATTCATTTAGAAAAAACTAAATGAATTTGACATTGAGGAAATACAATGCTAACTGTTTGGCTTTCTTTTACTGTCTATTTATTTATTATTTAAATAATTTTTTGAGACAGAGTCTCACTCTGTCTCCGGGCTGGAGTGCAGTGGCGCGATCTCAGCTCACTGCAACCTCTGCCTCCCAGGTTCAAGCGATTCTCCTACCTCAGCCTCCCTAGCAGCTGGGACCACAGGCCCCCACCACCAGGCCCACCTAATTTTTGTATTTTAGTAGAAATGGGGTTTCACCATGTTGACCAGGATGGTTTCTATCTCTTGACCTCGTGATCTACCCACCTGGGCCTCCCAAAGTGCTGGGATTACAGGCGTGAGTCACAGCGCCCATCTATTTGAGTGTTATCAAAGTGCTTATGAAGACCTTGGTCTTTCTGGTTCTCCTTTTCCAAAAAGCAACTAGAAATTCATTTGTTTCAAGAAGTTTCCCTCAGCGGGTGGAAGGCGAGGGCTCGCACTCAAGCCAGAATACCAAGGAAGTCCTCTTGAGATAGAGAACACAGTTCTTATATGCAAATCTCAGAAAATGGCAACTCCATTTTTCCACCTGTTCAAGCCCAGAACCATTGGCGGGATCTTGACTCTGTTGTTGAGACCCCACATCCAATTTGCCAAAAATCAAATTAGATCTACCTTCAAAACATATCCAGAATCTGACCATTTTTCAGCCCTGGGACTGCTACCACTGGTGTTAAACCACCACTGATGAAGATCAGGGTTACTGCGGCAGCCTCCGAAGTTGGCCCTTGCTTCCCCAGTTACCAGCCCACACCACACTTTACTCTCAGCATTGGTTGATGCCACAGCTCTGCTCAGTGGTGCCCAAGGGCTACCCCATAGTCAGGTAAAAGCCCCTCGTGGCTGGCAGGGCTACCCTTGATAGGTCCTCAGCTCTTCTCATCTCATCTCTCACCGTGCCTGCTCCCACATCACCAGGCTCACTATCCTCTTTGCTGGTCCTCAGACAAGCCAACTGTTCTCTTGCCTCAGGGTCTTTGTATTTGCTGTTCCCTCGGCTTGAAATGCTTTTCCCTCTAGTGTTCACATGGTTCACTTCTTCACCTTGTTCACGTTCTTTTTTTCTTTTCTTTTTTTTTTTTAAGACTGTCTTGCTTTGTCACCATGCTGGAGTGCAATGGCATGCTCTTGGCTCACTGCACCCTCTGCCTCCCAGGTTGTGATTCTCTTGTCTCAGCCTTCCGAGTACCTGGGCCTACAGGCATGTGCCATCATGCCCAGCTAATTTTTGTATTTTTGGTAGAGACAGGGTTTCACCATGTTGACCACGATGGTCTCGATCTAGGTTTTTTTTTTTTTTTTGAGGCAGAGTCTGGCTCTGTCACCAGATGCCAGGCTGGAGTGCAGTGGCATGATTTCGACTCACTGCAACCTCCACCTCCCGGGTTCAAGCAATTCTCCTGCCTCAGCTTCCTGAGTAGCTGGGACTATAAGCACACACCACCACACCCAGCTAATTTTTGTATTTTTTAGTAAAGACAGGGTTTCACCATGTTGGCCAGGATGGTCTCCATCTCTTGACCTCATGATCTGCCTGCCTCAGCCTCCCAAAGTGCTGGGATTACAAGTGCGAGCCACTGCACCCAGCCCCACTTCTTTTTTTCTAAGAATTAACTTCCTAATGAAGCCTGCTGTGAACACCCTACTGAAAACTCTGCTCCCTGACTTTCCTGGTCCCCGCTGCCCTGCTCATTTATCCCATACGTGTATCATCTTATAAGACTCTATGCCATCTAGTTTTTTTTGTTTGTTTATTGTCAGGAGGGCAGATTTTTTTTTTTTTTACTGTCTCATTCTTCTACAATAGTTCTTGGCATATGATAGACACCCACTAAATAGGCATTGACTATTAAATGAAGTAATCAATAATATTTTCCAAAACCTACTACGTGCAAAGTTCTATCAGCCTCAACACAATGATTATCTTATTAGGAGCTAATCCAAAACTAAGCCATGTAGTCCACGCTATGGTATAATACATACTCTCTTCACTTGACCTTTGCCTTTGCGTCTGCCATGACTGTTAAGGCTGAATTGGAATGAGCTGAGTCTCACATTCAGGCTTTGCAGATGTCATTTCATTTCATCCCCAAGAGGAGACTGTGAGATAGAGACCATGATTCTCACTTACTGGGTGATTAAACCAAGGCTTGCAGTGTAATGGACCTCACCAAAGTTCAAGGTCATCCAGCACTGGTTTCAAAGTGAAGTTATCCACCTATGCAGCCTGAGAATTGTTAGCAAGTCATTACCCGGATGAAATAGGACAGTTAGAGTCATAACACTGCATTGCAATCTTTTGGCTAAGAGACCATTTTTAATACCAATCTCTAGTTTTTGGATTATTCATGAATTATGAATAACACCTATATCACAGAAGTTAAAGCTAGTGATGCTTATTGAGAACTGAGTATTTCTCCATAAGCGAATTGGCTTCAGATCAACCTAAGTGGTGTCCCAACTAACAAAATTATATTCCAGCTTATAATTTTTACTCATGCTACGATGTGGGCTGGAAGTGACTCTCACTGGAAGTTCCTGCTTGAATTCCTAGAACCCTTTCCTATTAAAACCCTGTCTAAAGCATCCCATTACGGTAAGGACAAAGGAGATCATAAAAGGCCAACATGAATTCTCAGGCCTTATTTAATGACTTAATTTCCTTCAGTTACGCTGGGATCCCACAAGCTTCCCAGAATCCTCTTTGACCACAATCAAAGCACAGTGTCTGAAAGTAGCCTGGCCACACAAAATGTGCAAAACGCTATAACCTCTCCACAGCCTCACTCCTCTTTGCATTTGAGGGAAATGATTCTAGAAGCTGAAATAGACCAGAGTTCAACAGTCTGGGAAATTTGAAGAAGAAAAAAGAAAAAAAAAAACATCCAAGTCCTGCATTTGCAGAGATGTGAAGAGAACCCAGCTTTCTGAAGTTGGAAGGAAGTGAGAAGACCCTATTTGTGGCTGCAGGAGAGGAAAAGAAAAGGGACCCGCAAGGAAACTACCAACAGATGGTAAATACATTTTTAATTCTTCTGTCATACTGTGTGGACTTGTGCACATTTGTCCTGCTGTGTTAGGCTCCCGAAATAGCCAGCCATGGAATTGCAGAACAGTTCTGCTGCAATCTGAGATTTAGGAAACCATGCTAGCTGACAAAACAGGAAAGGCTCATAGTAGGGTGTAGTGGGTTTGCTCCCAGTTTGCAGCTCCTCTATGTGGCATCTGCTGTCCTTCTTAGTGCAGGAAAATTCTCTCACATGCCAGGTCTCATTGGTGATGTTTTGCAACATACTATCTCAAATTGCCCTCCAAGCCCTAGTTAAAATTTTTAAATGTAGGCCAGACATGGTGGCACACACCTTTAATTCCAGCACTTTGGGAGTCTGAGGTGGGCAGATCACCTGAGGTCAGGAGTTCGAGACCAGTCTGCCCAACATGGAAAAACCCCATCTCTACTAAAAAAAAAAAAATAGAAAAATTAGCCAGGCTTGGTGGTGGGTGCCTGTAATCCTAGCTACTCAGGAGGCTGAGGCAGGAGGATCACTTGAACCTGGGAGGCGGAGGTTGCAGTGAGCTGAGATTGTGCCACTGCACTCCAGCCTGGGCAATAGAGCAAGAATCTGTCTCAAAAAAAAAAATTATTAAATGTTGACACTATGCATATGATAACTCTCAAAGGTTAAAGAGAGTGAGAGCCGTCGATTAATGAATTCTGAGTCCTCCAGGGAGTATCACAAACACACGTGGCAGCCCAGAGCTCTTCACCGTGTCTTCCTCACACTTTCAGTTGTGAAATAATGTTCCCATGGAATGTAATGGGAATTCCAGTGCCAGAAAATGGGTTGTTCTACAAGAATCTAAGGAGGTAGGACACGAAAGCACATTGAGTTGACTCCACATCTGAGAAGTGACCAGTGATTGGTACCAGGAATGAGTTAGGTTCCCAAACCCGACACCATCTCTTAGTGCATCTGCAGAAAACAAAAAACAAAAAAAAGTATTGATGAATCTAACTGGATGCAGAATAACGAGGAGAGGGTCGCCTGTTACTTACTTACAGTGTAAAAAATATAGCTATGCAATACCATTTTGTTAGAACTGGAAGGATCCTTACAGAATCTAGTTCCTTTTTTTTTTTTTTTTTTTTTCATTTTATAGACAGGAATCTGAGCCAAAGAGTTGCAGGAAATTGGCAAAGATCATACAACTAATTCATGGCAAATTCAGCACTGGAACCTAAGATGTCGCCCTCCTAGTCCTGTGTTTGCTCTCCTCTAGCCCTCATTGAAGGTGGACACTGCTGTGATGAGCAAAACCCAATTCTAGAAGACCTCAATCATGGCAGCCCTCGTGCTTGGGTTCTTATGAAGCAAGATGATGGTGTTTCTGTCTGGTCTGTAGATGTTTGGGAAACTGGTTGTTATTCTTTACAAGTAAGGTTTCAAGCTAAAATAGATTTGTTAATTTCTGTCCTAAACCCCTGTTGGTTGTCTAGATTATATAGCTACCATACTATTTGTCACAGCTGGGATCCTCTTTTCATGAAATACCAGGGAAGATTGGTGGATAAGGATTAAAAAGCATTGGCAGAGGAGACTGGGAGACTTACACAATTACTTCCCACCCCGTGCCTTCCTGGTCTAAGAACTTCTCCCAGCCTCTTTTGGAGAGAGAGGTAAGTGGGAGGAAAGGAGACTTTTATCTTTTTAGTAAACGAAAGGATAACAAAAACTTTAGTACTGCTCAATTGGATGAAATCTTGATTTCACATGGTATAAGTTTCTACAAGACTAAATATATTCTTTGTTCAGTATTACTTATATATTCATAGATAACTTTTCCGGTGGATACAGATGTAGTTCATTAATAAAAACTCTTCTCAATCAGCTGTTTTTGAAGAGTGTTCTTTCCTGTTTTCTAGAAAGTTAATCGGTAAGCTCTTCAATAGCTCGTTTGGCAGTAAGGTCTCTTAACTTTTGCAATTCTAGTCAACATTTTGCTTTGTTGTTTTGCAAAATATTTCAGGAATATTTTATGCTACTTTTGTTATTGTTGTTTCTGTTGTTTTTGAGACAGTGTCTTGCTCTGTCACCCAGGCTGGAGTGCAGGGGCATGATCCTGGCTCACTACAGCCTCAAACTCCTGGACTCAAGCAACCTTCCTGCCTCAGCCTCTGAAGTAGCTGGGACTACAGACATGCACCACCACACCTCGCTAATATTTTTTTCTTTTTTGTAGAGATGGGAGTGTCATTATTGTTACTGAGGCTGGTCTTGAACTCTTGGGCTCAAACAATCCTCCTGCCTTGGCTTCCCTAAGTGTTGGGATTACAGGTGTGAGCCATTGCACCTGGCCTTATTTTTGTGGTGGCAAAAAAATTCTACGTGTTAGATATACATATGGAAATTTTTGTTTTGAGAATTAATTTTATCATTTTGAATGTTCTTAGAAATTTACTGTCTATCTCCATGGTCTAGTAATGGATTTGGAGGTGGAGGAGGGTAAGAATGATATTAACTGCATTATTTTCAGTAGAGCAGTAATGAAGGCACACTTTAAGTTATTTCATTCTTATGATCCAAATTTGATTATCTAGCTAAGATCACTGGGGACATTTGAAACTTTAATAATTACAGCTCAAGGCCTCAGGAAAAAAAAGAAAAAAGAAAAAAAATTACGTTTACTACACATTCACACAGACTTTCAGAGAGTTACCAAATGAGGGCCTGCTTGGCTGATTTAAAGAAATAGATTGATATCAAGATTCCATTTTAAGAGTTCAAGCTCTGTTGACATAAAAACAAAAGCTAGATTTAAAGCATTGCTTTGTATAGAACGGTTAAATATTGCTTGTTTGAGAGAGTAAAAAATGTAAGCTATTGATTTTAGCTTTCCTTTTTGGAGGGCGGCTTTAGGATTTTTCCCCTAGAAAGTTTGAGGCCATGATTTTTGCTACAAGTACCCTGTTCTCTTACGTGCCAGCACAGCTTGGAAGCTGCCTCTGCTTCTAGGTCAAAGGCTCTCTCTCTCCCTCTTGCCAGATGCCAGTTTCATGCTTAGACTCCCATGATCCTCAGAAATAAATCAACTTTTCAGTAAAATCCAGTGACAGCTCTGTTTTATATAAAAGCATGCGGCCTGAAGATGTAATACAGTTTTGTGTTTTAGGGGGACCAGAAAAGAAAGAAAGCACCCAAATTGCTGAGAGACAGTTTCAAGTGGAGTAGCCATTACGAAAGCCAGAGGGTGGCTTGCAGGTATCGTACCCACTCTTCCTGCAGCCGGTCCAACCCCCGCACGTAGTACTCACACAGCAGAAACCGTGGAAGTACAAATCGTTCTACAGTGTTCTCATCCTTCTGTAGCACTGGTTAGTAGCATCCATGAACTGAAGAAGTGTTGATCAGGTCAGCTCCCCCAGGCCAAAATTTCCACCTTGTGGAAAGAAACACATGAACAAATTCCTCTCCATACAACAACACAAAGGAATCTCACATGGTTGGACAATACAAAAGAGGCAAGACATAAAAGAATGCATAAAAGCACTTTGGGAGGCTGAGGCGGGTGGATCACCAGGTCAAGAGATCAAGATCGTCCTGGCCAACATGGTGAAACCCCGTCTAAAAATACAAAAAATACTAAAAATACAAAAATCAGCTGGGCATGGTGGCGTGTGCCTGTAGTCCCAGCTACTCGGGAGGCTGAGGCAGGAGAATGCTTGAACCTGGGAGACGGAGGTTGCAGTGAGCAGAGATTGTGCCATCGCACTCCAGCCTGGCGCCTAGCAACAGAGCGAGACTCTGCTTCAAAAAAAAAAAAAAATGCTTGCTCTACTGTTCCGTTTGTACAAAGTTCAAAACTATGAAAAGCGGGTCAGTTGTGTTACACTAATTATAAATGTTTACCTTTGATGAGGAGAGAGGATTAAAATTAGAATGGGACATGATGGTGGCTTCTAGGGTGCTAGAAAGTTCTGTCTTAACCTGGGTGGTGGTCACAGAGGTGTGTTCACTTTGTGACAATGCATTTAGAATAGTGCTATTCTAAAATATTAGAATAGGGCCAGGCATAGTGGCTCATGCCTGTAATTCCAGCACTTTGGGAGGCTGAGACAGATGGATCACCTGAGGTCAGGAGTTCAAGACCAGCCTTGCCAACATGGCAAAACCTCCTCTCTACTAAAAATGCAAAAACTAGCAGGCATGGTGGCAGGTGCCTGTAATCCCAGCTACTCAGGAGGCTGAGGCAGGAGAATTGCTTGAACCTGGGAGGTGGAGGTTGCGGAGAGCCAAGATGGCACCATTGCACTCCAGCCTGGGCAACAGAGCAAGACTCCATGTCAAAAAAATATAGCATTTTGGCTGGGCGTGGTGGCTCATGCCTGTAATCCCAGCACTTTTGGAGGCCGAGGCGGGTGGATCACGAGGTCAAGAGATGGAGACCATCCTGGCCAACATAGTGAAACCCCGTCTCTACTAAAATACAAAAAAATTAGCTGGGCGTGGTGGCGCACGTCTGTAGTCCCAGCTACGTGGGAGGCTGAGACGGGAAAACTACTCGAACCTGGGAGGTAGAAGTCGCAGTAAGCTGAGCCAAAAAAAAGAATTAAGCAAAGTTCAGGAAAGAAGACACAAAACCCCGTGGTAGGGCGGTGGAAACTCTTATGCACGGCTTCGGAGAGTTAATTGCAACTGCTGTTCTTGGTCGACTGTTTGGCATTATTTACTGAAGTTAAAGACATGCATATTCAGTGATCTGGATTTCCACCCTTGGGTAATATCCAAGAGAAATATGTACATGTGAGCACCAGAAGAACAGCAACTCTATTCATAACAACCCAAACTGAAAACAAGTCAAAATACCAACAGTAGAGTAGATAAATAAAATGTCATATATCCAAACTTGAAATACCATACAGCACTGAAAACAAATGGGCCACAGTACTCTCACGGCATGGATGAAACTTAAAAATTAAATGGGCTGGATGCAGTGGCTCATGCCTGTAATCCCTGCACTTTGGGAAACTGGGGCAGGAGGATCACCTGGGGGTCAGGAGTTCGAAGCTAGCCTGGCCAACATGGTGAAAACCCATCTCTGCCAAAAATACCAAAATTAGCTGAACTTGGTGGCAGGTGCCTGTAATCCCAGCTACTCCAGAGGCTGAGGCAGGAGAATCGCTTGAACCTGGGAGGCGGAGGTTGCAGTGAGCCAAGATCACACCATTGCACTCCAGCCTGGGCAACAAGATTGAAACCATCTCAAAAAAAAAAAAAAAAAAAAATTAAATGGTGAAAGGCAAAAACCATATGCTTCCATATACAGTACTTAAAGTTCAAAAAGTAGAAAAAGTATAGTATTTAGCAGTGTCTAGTGATGAAACAATGAAACCAAGCAAGGTCTTGCTGTTGCCCAGGCTGGAGTGCAATGCTGTAATCGTGGCTCACTGCAGCCTCAGCTTCCTGTGCTCAAGTGACCCTCCTGCCTCTGCGTCCCAAGTAACTGGGACTATAGATGCATGTCACCATGCCCAGCTAATTTTTAATTTTTTGTACAGACAGAAGTCTTTCTGTGTTACTCAGTCTGGTCTCCAGCTCCCGGGTTCAAGCAGTTGACCTACCTCATCTCTCAAAGTGTTGGATTACAGGCATCCGTGCCATGCCCAGCTCTGTTCTATTTCTTGACTTGAGTCATGGTTATGTGAATGTTTATTTTATAAAAATGTATTAAGTTGTACTTTTCTATATCATGTACTTTCCGGAATGTATGTTATATTTCACAGTAAAAAGGGTATTAAAAAATCACATGAAACCCAATTATTTAGATATAGTTATAAATTGAACACCTTGATGTATGTATACTCCCAGAACACCTTTAATGCAATACACTCTGTCCACATTGCTTTGTAGCCTTTTTTTTTTTAATTAATGATATGCCCTCTCAAAAGAATTCCTCTTTAGATTTTTTCCATTTCCACTTAATTTTAACTAAAAGTAAATATCATACAAGCTTTATACCCCTCTGGAAGCCTAAAGCCATCGAGTGGCTTTCAGGAAATTAGGTTGCTTTAGCCTAAGCTACATTGATTCATAAACCAATCTACAGGATTTTGCCATAGCTCATGGGAGACTTTTCTTTCTCTGTTAATAATGGGGCTGCTTCAACAGAGGAAAGCCTCTTTCCACCTCTTCAGAGTGCTAGCTCTGCAAAAGGACAGGCCAAGCAATGAGGGGAAAGGCCAGCATAGGGGAGGAGGGGGTGGGTTTAGCTTGGGGCAGGGAAGGGAGATCATCTTACAACTGGTTGCAATGTCTGCCATGCCGAGCTCGTGCCGAGGCTCTCCTAGACAACAAAAGGAAGCAGATTTTCGAAGTGATCTAGGAACTAACTTTTAAAAAAGTAGTTCCATTGCTTTTTCTTGCCCCTGGGATGGGGCCAGTGTGTTTCCCTCTGCCTGGAACGCACTCCCCTTTCCCTCTGTCCAATGCCTGCTCTCCTTCACCGTTTTCATCATGGTAGCCATTCACAGTCAAAGAACCCGTCAATGAGCATCCAAGCCCGATGGGGACCACGCGAGAACCTCATGGCCTCCTGTACTTACCCAGCCACAGCATTCATTAGAATTTACTATTTTCTCGTCTACAGACACTCTACCAATCTGTAAACTCCACGCACACAAGGTCAGTCTGTTTCACTGCTGTCATGCTGAGCACCAGGATATATTGGGCCTCAATAATATATTCCTTGGATGCACGAAAATCAGTGTGAAGTGTGAAGTGAGATGGGATCTGGGGTGGGGGAAGGATTTGCTTTATATGTATTTGTTTGTTAATTTTAGAGACAGGATCTAGCTCTGTTGCTCAGGCTGGAGTGCAGTGGTGTGATCATAACTGACTATAGCCTGCAACTGCTGGGCGCTAGTGATCCCCCTGCCTCAGCTGTAGCTAAGATTTCAGGTGCACACAACCATACCTGGCTACTTTTCTTTCCTTTTTTCCTTTCCTTTCCTTTCTTTTTCCTTCCTTCTCTCCTTCCTTCCTTCTTTCTTGCCTGCCTTCCTTTCCTTTCTTTCTTTCTTTTCTTTCCTTCCTTCCTCCCTCCCTCCCTCCCTCCCTCCCTCCCTCCCTCCCTCCCTCCCTTCTTTCTTTCTTTCTTTCTTTCTTTCTTTCTTTCTTTCTTTCTTTCTTTCTTTCTTTCTTTCTTCTTTCTTTCTTTCTTCTTTCTTTCTTTCTTTCCTCTTTCTTTTTGATGGAGTCTTTCTCTGTCACCCAGGCTGGAGTGCAGTGGCATGATCTCGGCTCACTGCAACCTCCAATTCCCAGCTTCAAGCAGTTCTCCTACCTCAGCCTCCCAAATAGCTGGGATTACAGGTGCATGGTGCCACACCCAGCTAATTGTTTTGTATTTTTAGTAGAAACAGAGTTTCATCATGTTTGCCAGACTGTTTTTGAACTCCTGACCTCAAGTGATCCACCCGCCTCAGCCTCCCAAAGTGCTGGGATTACAGGCATGATCCACTGCACCCAGCCACCTGGCTAATCCTCTAAAGTGGGTCTTGCTGTGTTGCCCAGGCTGGTCTCAAATTCCTGGCCTTATGCAGTTCTCCTGCCTTGGCATCCCAAAGTGCTGGGATTGCCGGCATGAGCCACTGCACCTGGCCAGGGAGGGATTTAAACTATGCTTCCCCAGTCCCTTCATCTGTACAGCACAAATGGCTTCAGGTTGTCCAATGCAAAGAAATATGCTAACACAGGATGGCACAAAATTAAAACATCTACAACTCTTCAGTTTCAAATACCTACTGGTAACAGCAGTTTGCATTCGTATACTCTTTGATATCAAACAGTTTCACAGATTATACAATTTCGGCAACAAAGTCTCTGAGGCAAACTGGGATGATGTTAATACCACCATTTTGCAGATTAGAAAATTGTCTGAGAAAGGGTAAGTACTTAGTCCCACATTGCATGATCAGTTTCTAGTGCAAGCTACAGACTAGTGACCCCTTAGGTGCTTGAAGGGAAACAGAGTGTGTACTGCATACAGATATATTTTCAGGGACAAGGGACGTGAAATAATGTGACATCTTTCTGAGTTTTATCCTCAGTAGATATTTTTTTCTCCGTTGGAGTGCATCAAGAGAGAAAGGTAAAAAGTCACATGTTCCTCACATTCTTTATGCAACAGTAGTTAAAAGACATTAATCTGGACCAAGTGCATCTATCAAACATAAAAAGATTTCATCATGTGCTGACAGTGGGGAAATGGTTTTGGCTTTTGCTGTCTTGCCCCTTCTCTTCTCTGAACATAAGCTCATTTTCTTGTGGTGATCTTGGCAGAAGAAATACAGTAGTAGGACAAAGGGGTTGGAAGAAGAGAAAGAAAAGAAAAGTAGATGGTCAGACATCGACAATGCGAACAGGAGAAAGGGGTGGAGA